AAATTCATACATTCAATAGTATAATATTTTTATTGATGTATAGAGCGGAAAAACATTAATTTAAATTTCCTGGTTATATATTGTATTCGAGTGAATTCAATGGGCCGAGTATATATTATTTACATCACTATGGTGTTTAAATAATAGTATATTACCCTTTTAGTGATAAGTGCAGTAACTACTAAATTGGCAAGAATAAGACTATTACGCACTATTGCTAATAAATAAATCATTAAATGTCTGTTTTTAGCAAAGTTAAAATGTAGATCCAAAAATGTAATAAATATAGTAAAAACGTAATTTAGTTCTAAGAAGTTTTAATATTTTTATTCTAAAATTAAAATTTATTTGTTTTATAACTATATATAAATTTTGTTTTTTATATAGTCTGTATTAATATTTGAGCGTTTACTGAAATAAATCGCAATAAATTACAAGACTAACGTTGAGATATATATTCACAACATACTCATGTATATCAATTTTTATGTTTATAAAGTGGAACTGAATTTTATATAGATTTTATATAGATTATAGAAAATTTGTTTAAACCTAGTTAACTGAAAATTTTTATCAAATCAGTATATGTTTTAGCTGACCATAATAATCAAACTTTGAAAATCGATCATTCAAGTGAATAATTTATTTTATTTTTGTTTATTAATTGTGTTAAATCGGTAGTATAATAATGATTTATCGACTTATAAGTAAAAAAATATTTTGAGATTTTAATATATGTTATTCATCAATGGATGCAAATATTAATCAAAATACAGTTAATGATTAAAAATCATATTTCATAATAATAATTAGTTATTTAATTTATTATTCATTAGCTTAATTAATACACTTATAAGTTTCACTCATAATACGTATATTTATAATATAATTTTGTTTTTTAATTGGATATAGCTAGAGTTACAAAATATAATTTTCACAACATATGATTTTTTGCAGCAACTGTTGTAATACAACCACATGGTCATAATATAAAGGCTTATGTTTGAATACGTATTCACATTTTCAGTACTCAGTTGTTCATGCAATATATGCAGTATGCACATATGTTTAATATGCTTGATACAAAATTTCACTATAGGGTTATAATTTGAGCTCGGTATTAACGTTTAAAATATATTAGGTATTTACAATTAAACGTACAAAGGGCAATAATCATCATTTACATCTGTAATGCGGGAATTTTAAGACTCCGTCGATTAAAAAGATCCGTTTAATAATTAAAACATGTAACTGCTTCTATATTACATTGTTACTTATATGTTCAGTCTTTCTAAGTTTTCGTTTAAATTGTTCTTTTTATTAATACTGATTGAGTACTACGCACTCTGTTAATATTGTGCGTCATACACAATATCACATAAATATTTCGTTTCAAAAAAAAAAATATAATATTTAAATTTCAGAAAAATAAACATTAATAGCTTTAAAAATCAATAATATTTTAAGGAATAATGGTGTAAATGTTACCATGTTATAACGTTTTCATATTTTTAGCATAAATATTTTTTGTTTTTAAAAAATTATGATTGCAATCTATTATAACTAAATACTATGAGACATACATAATTTTGAATACAATTAAATTATAATTTGCATGGAGTGTTTAACATATTATGCTAAATATTTTTTTTAAATTAATTAATATGAAATATACAAATAAATATGGAAGTTTGGATTTTAGAATATGGTTATCTCTTTAAAAATTAGAAATTATTTATTGATAATTAGCATACATGATCTATTATATATAAAAAATACTCATGATTTTTTTAACGAATTTTTTAATTGACTGATATCGAAATTTCAATCGATTAAAATTTTATGGTTAGTATATATTATTACTAATATCAGATTTTATCATTTGAGCCATAAAATGTATTTTGTGTAAAAAAATTCTCAGTTAATTGACATTTCATATTATTTTATTCACATTTATTGCTGCCAAGATAACATTTTCAGGATTATTATACTATAATACTAGTGCATACTTTATTCGTTTAATGGGTGTAGTGATATTTTTTTATCGTAAAATCGATAAAAACAAACGTGTGATGAAAATATATATTGATTTATATAGCGTTGGTGCAGTGGACAGACTCCAATGTGGTTCTAGTCAATTGGTCAAAGTGGACTCAGAAATTGGATTACGCGGATGTGGTATTTCAATTACCCATAGTTGCTACCCAGATGGTTGACTGGTTGAATGGTTTGCGTGACCGCGATACCATACGAAGCTTTGACGATGTCACAATGATCGGTCATAGTTTGGGAGCTCATTTGATTGGTTACGTAGGCCACAGGTTAAACGGTACAATCAAGAGAGTTATAGGTACGTACGTTATTTTCTAAATACGGTCACGATTGTAAAGCTGTAATTAATATTATGTACAGCTGTCGTGGAACTACGTTTACTCGAAATTGACATAGTGTAATGTGTATAACGTAAATTGATATGAATACTCATGAAAACCGAGTATATAGTGTATTTATATTCATTGTCTCGTATAAATTTAGAGAGCTCAATCACACAGCAAAGATTTTTTAATTTTTTTTTTTTATGAACTTTTGAGATTTTTAGTATATTTTAATGTTACTTGAAAATTAATCAGGTAGTAATATTATGTCTATTCGTATATGTATATATATATATTTAATGTCGAGGCTTATATGCTATACAAATTTCAAATAAAAATAAATAAATATATTTAGATTAAAAAAATATACTAAAATTCTGAATACCCATCGTTTAAATAATTAAATATAAATATTTCAAAACAATAAAATTTATACACAGTTGGCATTTATTTTAATGATTTTTTAATTTTGTAAAATCATTCACTTAAATAAACTAATAATTAGTTTATACGAAATATTAAATATAAATGTCTGTAATATATATCACATTATTTATGTAGTATATTTATTTTAGGAGTATCTGCTAAATATCTTTATTTAATAAAATCACTATTTTTTCAACAAAATAAACAAATATATTTTTTTAAACAGTATTTGATGAGAATTATTAAAAAATGTAAATAATAAAATATGTACTATGTTTTAAATGTATTCTGTTTAAATTTCAAATAGCTTTATAACATACATAAGCAATATTAGAACGATTTTATATTGATTTATTTGAATACTTATAACGGAATCTTAGTTATATTAGATATAGATATTACACATAGAATAGTTTTTCTTATTAGTATATGAATTTAACTCTAACATTTATTTAAAGCTTTGATGTTTTCATTTTTTTTGGATTAAACAAACAATGTAGATCTTCGTAATTTAAACAAAAAGATATTATTAATACAATAAAAAAATGTCCTCTCAATATTTCTAATAGTCAACAGCAGTTTTATTACAAAATGAGTTGAATTAAATTGTACTAACATATTTATAATAGTTTTAGGTATGTTACTCATAATTAATACACGTAATTTAAAGTTTTATGTACACATTATATACTATAACTTAATCAAAATTATTATTATTATTATTTATTTGTTAAACGTAAATGACAATAACAATATTACATTTCTACAACAATACAATGTAATTATTAGTCATTTCGATAGTATAATATGTTATTCAAAACTACTACTGCTGTAGAGATTTAAAAAAAGAAACTCTTTGAGGTAATATTTTATAATAGTATTATAAAGTTATTAGTTATTACTATCTTATTACAATAATATCATAAGATAGCAATAAGAATTATTAATAATTGTTTTTGTCCAAAAATTTTAATATATGTTTTGTTAGCCTCTACCTGATTTGATTTGACTATTTTTATTTTAATATAAACATATAAGTATGCGACATTCACTTCTCAGTATTTAATTCATAAAGTGATCACCTCATAAGATGTATCTATACTAAAAAGATTGCGTTTTTAAAGCATTGTTATTTTTTTTTTTATTGCGTTAACATTGTGAAACGAACAGATAGTTATTTTTTATACTTACCAGGTGATGTAGAATGTTGAAAATTGATATTAATTGTTTTTTATGTTACTTGAAATTATATAGATATTTATGTATACATTTTCGTTATTTCATATAATTTACAAGAAGTGAGTAAAAACATAGATAATATATTAATATATACATATATATATATATATATGCATAGGATATTTCTATACCCGATATACACAGTATTCTTTCAGGAAAAAAGTATACTATAGTTATCATGATTGTACACGTTGGAAATGATATATAATGAAGACATTTTTTTATTAATACAATATCTCCTAATTTTTTAATCAAATAATTAATTTCTAAATTAATTTTTTATCATTATTTTAGTAAATATTTATTTATTTATTTAATCAATATTTTATTATTAATTAATATTTATATACATATATGGTTACAATTTATACAAAAATCACAAACTTCAATTTTTCCCGAATTTTCAATTTTTATTCCCGTAAAAATCTAATAAAAACTGTAATGAATATTTTTTTTTGAATGTCCTCAATCAATCTATCCATTTTCAAGTTATATACTTATCAATGAAATTTATCAATTTATTATTTTAATTTTAAATTTTTTATTATTTTTGTTTTATTAAATTGACAAAAAAAAAAAAAAAAAAAAAAATGTAAATGAATGAATATGTTACGTATATGCAAATAACAATATTATTGTAATTTTAGTAGATATTAATAGAATTCTGAATTTTTTGCGTTACCGTTTATCACAGTAGCATACATCTTAATTATATGTAACCACTTTGATAATTAATATGCCCTTCAGTCACACTCGAATACATGGTATATCTCATCTATGGATAAAAAAGACTTAATATAAAACAGAAAAAAAATTGAATTTTTATGATTAAAGAACAAGTTTGCTCAATAGATAAATACTTTATATTTTTGTTTTTAACTATTTTTATTCAGTTTAAAGTAAATAATTATAAATTTAATATCAAAGCTTTACTAGTACATACAATTCCACTTTTTTAATTCAAACTATACATGCAGAGGTAATTATTAAATGTAAAAATTGAATATGTTATTTGATTATTTGATGTGCATAATAATATATCGTTCCAAAAAAATATTCCTGTTTTGAAAATAAAATTAGTTTAATGTTAAAATATATTTAAAAAATAAAGGTCATATAACCAAAATAAAAATAAAATTTCATTGTTTTAAGTAATTTTGAATAAACTTAATTTTTGTGTATAGTAATTTAAATGGTAAAAAGTATTCATTATTTTTCATTTACAGTACATTAATAACTCACTAAAATTACGTAAATTATGTACACTATACATTATACATATATTCGCATATAGGTAATTTATACGCATAATCTACAATTTGTGTAATTTAAACATATTATAGAAATAGACACTAAGATATTCGATTACTAAATAGTGATGAAATTTTGATGAGTTTTAGTTAGGACACACATGCATTCCTTTGATTCCCAACCGGTGTAAATTGCAGTGAAACGAGTGGAAGGCATGCCACTGTTGAATTCTGGGAAATGTCGTTTCAAAGGTCACCTTGCGATGACATTAGGAGACGATTTAATTACACAATATGCTATTGTTTCTACTAACCCGAAACTGATATGACTTCGATATTTACTATTACTACTATATTCCTAATACAATTATTGCTACTTTCTAGTACCGGTACTAGAAATTGTACAGCTAAACTTCTAATTCCAACTACTGCTGCTACTATAAGCAATATAAACCGAATATTGTTTATAATTTAGTTGACATGCACCAAATTATGTCAATATTATATGTGATCAGATATTAAAATACAAAGAATTTTTAAATACTAAGAATAAATACATTGTAAATCATTTATCATGGAGAAAATATAAAATGCTTCGACTTAAAACGATTAAAAAAATTAATTAAAAATTTCTTGTATTTCTATGGATTTTGTCTAGTTAAAGATAAAATAATCAATTATTTGTGTGTGTGTGTGTGTGTGTGTGTGTGTGTGTGTATATATTATATATATATATATATATATATATATATATAATTGAATGCATATAATATGGATATTAATGAGGATTTTGTTCTCTGTTTCACCGCTGTTGGCAAGTATTGATGAAAATTACGATTTCGTAAATCAAACAACGCAAAGGGAAAATAAAATAAAAGAGAAAAAAGACTCCATTTAGAACAAATCAGAAAAAGACTAAGAGAAAATATACGGTTCAAATCACATAGAGACTTCAAATAGTCTGTGGAAAGTGTCAATGTTACCGTCGCCGTCAACCACCGGTAGTGTGCATAGGTTAGGTTATAACATAGAAAAGTATGTGTTACTGTATAGTACCCTCTACTATAATATATTAGATATATATAACTATACAATTACATATAGGGTTATATTGTATTTAGATTTTTAAAAATAATATATTAGTTTGAAAAATATAAAAATACAGTTCTAAGTATAATATGTAGATATATAAATCGCTGGCAATAAATTTAATATTTTCATGTTTTTTTGATTATTTAGGTATAATTTGTTAAAAATCACTAAAAACTTAGGTTGTATTAGAAGAATTCGTAATGAATTTTAATTAGTGATTCTAATAAAATCTTAATACTATGCCTTGGTGAGACCAATTATAATATACTGTGCACACACAAAAAAGAGATAATTTTATTTGTAGCCTGACAAATCAGTGACAATACTTTTAGACTTTTAAAGGTACAAGGAATTTTTAGTTAATTTTTTAATCATTTTATACTTAAAATGTTCATGATAAATGACTTACAATTTATTTGTTTTTTTGGCATTCTTTTATTCATTATTAATGGGATCTTGATACTTTTTGTGGTAAAAATCAAGTTGGACATATTCATTATAAGTTCCTTAACATTGCAGTTATTAATAATTGATCACTTATTCCACGGTTATTCACTAGTTATTAGTTATGTACTGACTTGGCTTAAATACTTCATTTGATAGAAGGTGTGAAGCTAATTTAACTTTTCTGAGATGTCGTATTGATGATTTTATAGATTTTTCTAAACTATTAAAACTAATAAACTTAAAAGTTCTATCTTTTTATAGTCGTCATATTATGTATTTATTTTCTATACTTGCAAACAACAAAAATTATTCAAAAAATCAACTATTGTACAGAACGATGAGTATAAAAAAATCAAAATAAAAGGATCAATTAACTATTATAATATAAATACGTCATATCTATTATACGTATTGACAATATTGAATTAATTTAAGCATGGCTTGTATTAAATTAAAATAAATAAAATTAATGTGATAATTTAGATTTGTATTACTCTGTATTACATTAGTAGTGTGTGAGT